GAAAATAAAGAGTATCCCACCTAGAGTCACTTGCATCAGTTCTAGAATTAGAATCTAGATTGTTGTTAATGGTACCCGACCATTATTAATTTATGCAGATCCTGGGTTGTAATTAAGTGTCACTTGTCGCATAGACAATTTAATTTATTTATTTATTTTAACTATGTAATATAACTTGACTGCTTTTTTTTCATGAGGGAACACTTAAAAATATTTTCTGCTTAAAATCTAAATAAAATCTTTATGATCACATAGAAATTTTAACACTCTAAAAAGTAAGTTCGGGACTGTAGAGAGTTTTTCATGCATATATATTGAAATCTTCTCTTTTTTTGTTAAGCACGTCCCCACCTGCGGGTTCTGACAGCGGGTTCTGACAGAACACCTGACCTATTATGATATAGTTCTATTAAGAGGATGTTTTGTAATATGTAAGATAAAATCTATTTTTAAGCATAATTTTTAAATTGCTTCGTACAAATTTATGTATTTATCGAGTCAATTAGCATAAATTGCATTAGAAATCAATTTAACAATATCTAAAATTTTAATAGCATTTTCTCAAGCATATTTATCCTATATAAGTCAAGGGGCTAATTAGGATCTATTATAGATATCGGCTCCAACTCCTTAAAACTTAATTAATAATGTTCCTATAACTCTTTCATAAAAAGACCAAATACATGGATTTTAAATTGTCTAGGTGTTTAGCTAACTCCTTAATTCAGGTTGGGGTAAGTCCTGATTTTATACTGCATTACTAGATTGTTCGGGTTATTATTGTTCAGGGCCCAATTTAGATTTAGGATATGGGGCAGACCAAAAATCATAAATCCCCAACTTCCGAAAATATAATCTCAAATTTTTAATAAATCAATTAACTCAAATCAAAGCTCATCTCAATCTAAAACTTAAAGCCTAATCTATAGAATAGGTTAAGGCACTTCTGAATTATTTCAGAATCCCAAAGTGCTTCTTACTCCTCCTAAGTTGACCTGTAGAAAAAAAAAAAGCTCAAATTTTCTCCAATCCCGATTGAAAATTCAAACCTCATTTTCTTTCATATCAATCTTCGAAAATCTTCATGATAAAATTTCTGTCGTTATTTCAATCGAATGTATTCGTGGGAAATTCAACCTCCCTATGATGTAATTAACTATAAAGGCTTGTTCTTACAGGAGATTTGTAATTAACTATAAAATTAATGATAATTCATTTAGATTATTGTAGTTAGATATTTGAACGAACTCTATTTTGACCATTCGAGGTCATATACAATTCTTTATTGAATTTGACTACGATATTCGGATGGAATTTGTAATTCTAAATCTGAATTCGTTAGGGAATCTTGTACCACATCTTGCAATATATTATTTCAAATGGATGTTCAATTTTAGAATTAAAGTTCAAAAGTTTTTTTTGGGAAATTTTGGGGCAAAAACCCATATATTACTATAAAAAGATTACAAGTAAAAGTGAATACAAGAAAATTCCAATATAAGAACAACAAAACTCTTATGAAGGACAAGAATACAAAAAACCCCAACTATACCACCCATATCATATAATCAAAAGAAAACTATAAGAGCCAAAATGGTAGTAAGTAAAGAGATCCAGAATGTAAGTCTCCCAACGAGCTAAAGCAGTGTCCCAATTCCACGGTACAAGCACAATTAGAACCAAAACCTGCAAAGAAAGATAACAGAACCAGCTCCCGGGCATGGCGGGCTACACTCAGGAAATTATAAAAGAGATAAGATAGAACCCTGGTTGCCCAAAGGCCGTCCAAGGGTCTATCAAGGAGCTTCATCATCGTCCAGCCAGCCCAATAGAGGCACACGAAGGGGCAGGAAGTCTCGGCATAAACCAGCTCAGAATCAACAAAACTGCACCAAAGTGCCAACGGTTCTAGTGAAACCCAACCTCAATCCAAAATCTCTTTGAAATTAACTTTAAGAGTATCATAATGTTTCCACTTTATAACTTTAGCTCTAATTGCCTGAATAATCACAGCCATCATCTCAGACTGGTTCTTTCTCAAAGACGAAAATTTCCTTCCATTTCGTTCTCTCCAAATCCAGTAAACAATCACAGAGATAGTAAGGTAGCAAAAATGAGAATCAAAACTGCTAAAATGTCTAATGTTGCTCAGGAAATCATAAACCTGATGCAAATTCGGTCTCAGATAGAAAATCCCCAAAGAAGGTAAGAGGGCAGTAAGGGTCCTGAAAGTAAAATCACATTCAAAATACAAATGAGAATGGCTTTCCCAGTTAGAGACACAGAATGAGCAAGAAGAGGAGACAGGTATCCCTTTAAGAATGAGTAAATCTGCGATTTTGAGCTTCCTATGCATAGCCATCCAGGTATAGGACGCATATCTCAGCGCAGACCCCTTATGCCAAATAAATTTGGCCCAACCAATATCATCCAGATTTGAGTAAAACGATTTAGAGAAAGTCTTAGAGATGGGAGAACCAACTCCATCCCAGGTAATGCATTGAGACAGAGAACTCAAATCAACCTTCATAATCATGGAAGAGATGTCAGCAGGCAGACCCACTGGAAGATTCCAAGAATTGAGAGCAACAACATCAGTAAGCATCAAATCTGAGAAAGTGTGAGGGCAAGAAAGCTCGGCAATGGCTTTTTTGTTACACCACGGGTCCCAGTAAAAAGAAAGTTTGCTATTACAATTCACAGCCAAAGAAATGGAGTCTCTAATTTCAGCGCCTTTGAGACAGCAAAGTTTCCAGAATTTTGAAGCAGAGGGGGGGGGGGGTGTAATATCAAGAATCTGCTCCAGGATCGTCCAGGACGATCTGGATCGTCCTGGGACGATCAGTTGAGAATCTGCTCCAGAATGTGCCCAGATTTGCTCCAGGTGATTTTCTGTACATATCGTCCAGGCCGATTGTAGCAATGAACTCGCTCGAGGCGGTGGATGTCGACCGGCGGACTGGTTCGGCAGCCAAATCACTTCTGGGCCTGATTTTTGGCATGGACAGTCCAATTAGAACATTTTTAGATCATCAGAATCATTTTTTGACATTATGAACTTAATTTTGATACTTTTGGAACAAAATAGAGCTTTTACAGCCAATTTAAAAAAAAAATAATGTTTGGGAGAAAAATTTCCCAATAATTTTTGTTTCAATCAACACACCAACCCAAGGATATGCTAAATTTATCATTAAGGATATTTTACTTGATTCACTATCCCGAGGAGAAGTCCACGTTAACGTCCAGGGAGCGATTGCGCCTCAAAATTTTCTAGAAATTATAATTTTACACTGAAATATTTTGAAAAGCTCTGATATATATTTTTAAACTCTGCAGGCTTCAATGTTTAAAAATAAGATGACAACTAATATATCATAAAAAATTTTCTTTATTGAGCACGAATCTCAAGGCAAATTTAAATTGAAAAGTTTCAAAATTAAATTCAGAGCCATCTGAACTCCGATTTCAACAAGCTTATAGTCGAATTGAACATCTCAAGGAGATGAACCCAACAACACCAAATTGGGTCCAATTTGAGCCAAAATGGATCCAAATCGAGGGCCCAAAGTACATTTAGATTGTTCAAAGCACAAATTGGATGACCAAATGGTATCCAAATGTGACATGTTTATAGTCGAATCGAGTGGCTCGACGAGACAAATCCAACGAGCCGAAGATCGTCGAATTCTCACATCATTAGGACACTTAAACACTCGATAGACGATCCATGTTCAAGGGAATTGATATTGGCTGTCCATTAGAACACTCGCAATATGATATTAATTTTTTCACTATTTATTAGTCATGTCACTCCCAGAAAACTACAAATAGACTCCTCATTCTTCACTAAAAGGGGAGCAAGCAAGAGGTAGAAGAGAAGAGAGGAAGAGAAATACGAGAGCTCTCTAGTCACCAGACTCCTTGACCAGCGCCAGGCCATCGACCATCGTCGAACTTCTGCCCGACAGTTGTCAGACTTCCAATCTACCACAGTCAAAATTTTTGCCTGATTGTCATCATTGTAAACTCACGAACATTCATACAAAGTTCAACATACTTCTTGAACTACTATAATTTGACAATCATCAAGTTTTGAGACAGGACATTCTTTGTAACATGTTAAAATAATAGTTGAATAGATTTGACATGGGGTGCTCTCATGATTTTTTTCTCTTTTTCAAAGTTTTTCACATAACAGTTATGGTGTTCTAAGTTCACTATTTGTGTACTGGATATCTGTGCAACGCTAGAATGAAAAATTCTCTAATTTTATCGCCGCAAATATTCTAACCCACAACAACAACAAAAAAATAATTATATATATATATAAAGATGAATCTATGGTGGTAGACACGAAGTATTAAAATTTTGAGTGTTTAATATAAAAATAACATGATATAAGGGAATTACATACATATCACTTTATATCATACTATTTCAATATCTAATACCCAAAATTTTAATATTGCATGACTACCACTTATAAACAACTTTAATTTCAAATATACCACTTACATATTTCATTCACATCACGCATAGCATCCTATAAGCTTAATATTTCATTCTTTGCACCCATATTTAATGTACGAGTGATAAGCACGAAATATTAAAATTTTATGAGTTAGAAATGTAAATAATATAATATAAAATGGTATGCATTTAAATCCCATTTTACTTGTTTGTACCCATAAAAAAAAAAAGAGCATAACACAATATAGACTATGTCAATTGACTTAGGATCTGTTTATGACAATTTTATGGCTATTTTACTTTGCAGAGAGCCACCACAATTTTATTTGGCCATCACTTTCTTGCTGCTTTCTCAATGTTTTTCAAAATTTCTATAATGAGTTGTTTTTTGCATCCATAGTAGCAAAATTATTTTCTTCGGATCAACTTCGCAACTAATTTTATAATCCCATAGAAGAGAGAGAGAGAGAGAGAGAGAGAGAGAGAGAGAGAGAACTGAGGACCAAATTGCACATCAGGCCATAATATGAGGACCAAAAATAAAATTTGCCCATAGAACTAAGCATGAAAGAACACAGTATGAGCTCTATAATAAGCTCATCCGACATTAAAAATAAGTAAGTCTCTTCGGTGACATCCGATAAAACTGGAACATAAAAATTAAATCTACTGCTCTTTGTTCGCAAGCAGATTGGCCGATTAAATAGTAATCCTTAAGTCAAAATTGTAATAATTCAGATAGAAAAAAAAAATCTAACCAATCTTCAGATATGCAATCGAGATAGATGGTGAAAATGTTCAGGATGATCAAATCTAGAGCTTTGAAGTCGACTGGCCAATATCCCCTCCAACAATGGGCAACTTAATACATTGAGACAATGCAGCTACGAGCTTTCTGATATCATCAAATGTATGTGCAGCGCTGAGTGTAATCCGCAATCTGTCAAGCAAAAGAAATGCATTGCAGGAGGAATTGAGTATTGTAAAAACTTTCTGTTACCACTGAATCAAACAAGAAAACAAAGAACAACACTTCCGAGCATTTGTACTTATGTTAAGTTTAACTTTTTACCTGCATGAATTGGGAGGAACTGTTGGAGGCCTGATGGCGGTAATATGGAAACCTGATAACAACATATGCCTGCAGTGCAATGAATCAAAGGAATCAGTGAGAAGGGATTTTCAGTAACTAGCTGGAGTAATCAGTTTACGATTATGAACACGCTTGTGCCATTTGGTTGATCAACAGAAGGATTTGCAGAAAGTTTTCAAACTTTAATCTCTCTTTTCTGTGGTTTTGTCAAGACCCTTACCAATTGGCCTTGCTGGCATCACCGAGCATGCTTGCATAGGTATTAGGCTTAAGTTTGGGACGGCTTTTTTTCTGCTTCTTAAAGCAGTTTTTTAGTACAAAAATTTTAATTTTTGTATTAGGAAGTTGTTTTAATAAGCAATAAGAAAGCAGTCCCAAACGAAGTCTTAGTGTGCATGCATTGTGCGTGTGCATGAGTGTATGCGGGCACGCGGGCATGTGTGAGTATCTGTGTGCGCATGAGAGTGGTTATAATTATGCACACTTATATTCTTATATGTATATTTGTATGAATAAATATATGTATAGTGGCATGTGAATTCCCTATATTATAGGAGTCTTTTTAATAGGTCACATGTTCATGAAAAATGCTCGCGTTGGACTCCACGAGTAAAAAACTAGATCACAAACAAAAAAGTTTGGCTGATTTGCTTGATGAGTTGAGCCAAACAATTATATTCCCTCAAGTTCGGCTCTACATATATGAGTTTGTAAAAATTATTTAAAGCATGAAGGGTGCTATTGATCATGGTTGTTTGACCCATAAAGATGACGACTTTCTAGTTGATAATTGAGAGGTTGCAAACCTGCTCGCCAGCAGAGCTGATTCTTCACTTCCAACAATGATAGATATTATGGGACTGGTGACAGGAAGTCCACTTAAGAAACGGAAGTCATGCACTCTATGCCAAATGGCTCGCCTGCGCCATTTCTCCACTTTGGCCACAAAAAGAGCAGCTGCAAACTGAGAAGTCATTCATGAAGCATTGGTATATAAGATTTCAGCTAATATGCATGGCCAATAATAACAAGATAAAAACCAAACCATAATATATAGACAATCAAGAATAATGAATGCAGCTGAATTGAATTCGTGTATTCATAATACTACCATATTACATAATAGCAATATGTATATATAGATGTAGAATACATGTAAATACAATACTACAAGATGTGGGATTAATCACATATCTATTATTACTCCCCCTCAAGCCGACGGACATATTTGGACAGTAAGCTTGTGTCGAAGCATCTGAAACCTTGGAGTAGAAAGTGGTTTAATGAGAATATCAGCTATTTGATCTTTAGGGTTAATTGGAACTATACGAATTGTATGAGATTGAATATGATCTTGAATTAAGTAGTGATCAATCTCTATATATTCTGTTCTTGCATGAAATACTGAAATATGCATCTATTGTCTGGTTACCCAACGTGATAGACACCAAAATCAATTATGTAGAATTCAATGCCCTCATCAAACTGAGTTGTTACCTATATTTCAAGATTTGGCGCATGTACAAAATTTAAAAAAAAAATCATGTTTCATAAACATTTGACCATGATATTGGTAGAAAGATACCATGGGAAGCAGCAGCAATGGGAACTGGAAAAGAAGTAGAAAATATGAACGAACGACCCCTTGATTGTATAAGCTGTTTCCACTTAGTGCTGCTCAATAGTTATGAAACATTAGTTAGTGAATCTTTGAATTTTAAAAAAGATTGTAAATGAGAAACTAGTAGTATCTGGAAAAGGTGCAATGAAGAAACGAATAACTGAAAAAACACACTTAACAGGAACGCTCATTCCTGATGCCTGAATACATTGATGTATGAATATATTAATAACTGACATAATATAGAATTAGAAAGGTAGAGAGGTGACAAAATTATAAATTTTATGCAAAATCTCCAAAGAACTTCACGGGCAGGCTCATTCCTGATGCTGCGATAAAGAAATTCTAATAAATTGAAGTATTCAGAATCAACTCTAAAGGAAAAGTACTCGACAAGCAATAACAATTAGTTTACATATGCAGAAACAAGTCTTTCCTGTATGGAGAACGTTTAAGACGAGCAATTACACAAAAGGATCTGCAACAGATTATTCATCTTTCCTCATATGATAAAAAACAATATAGAAAAATGAGTAGCATAGGAGCACGAGCCCAAGGAAAGCTGCATTTCATAGTACAGATTTATTTTTTTCTACAATTGGAGTGTACACGAGGTACTATCATTTTAAAGGGTCTATACTCTACAGGTTCAAACGAGAATTCAGTATGTGTAACACTATATCATGGATTTCTGCAAGAACAGTGAAGATAAGGACATCAATTTCGGAGGTATGTTTGACAAAGGTTGGAGGTAAATATCAGTGCTGTTATTGCTATTTGCTATTTTGCTCAACATAAATGATCTTCTAACCAGTAGATCAAGTCAATTGGAAATTAATAAGACTAATACCACTATAGAACTTCATGTGATCAACAAAACCGTTATTTTGTATCATTCGACAGAACAATAATAACGTTTAGATTTAAGATAATGTAATGGATAAATATAATTAAGTACTAAAATTAACTCAATGTAATCTGCTAGATAGAAAATAGTTTACAAAAGACTAAAAACAACAAAAACAGTTTAACCTGTAACATTAACCTCTTTAAGGGTTAAATTATCTGAGTTGGAATTGCAAACCCTTGTTAAATTGAATTCTGTCAGAAAAATTGGAATTGAAAAAACCATAATATATTGAATTGCCAGATAAGTTTTTATTAGAGCAATGCGTTTCTCTTCCATAATATTGGCTTTACTGTTGAAGCTTATCAGACTTTACATAAATTAAGACTTTTCCAAGCTGGTAGAGTGGAAGGAGAAGCGAAATGTGATGTTAAGGACTAGAACAACATCAGAAGCAACCTGGAATATCTAGAAATTATATATCCTAGAAATTTTAAGTCTTCGTCTTCCAAAAAAAAAAAAAGAACATCAAAGAAAATCAACTACGTTGTGTAAAATTAACAAGTAAAAAGCACGAAGTTGAGAAATCAAATGCAACATACACGAAAATATAAGCAGGCACAAAACTTGCATGATTCGGTGATATCCAATTACATCTGTACATTCAAAAATCCAAAAAAAACTCAGTTCAAGTTAAATCAATCTAGTTCAAGATAAATCAAGCTGGTTCAAGCTTAAGTTGATTCAATCTACTCGCTTTTATACTCTCAAGCATGCAAGAGAACTTGCCATAACATAGACGACCATGACCAAGGCATTTTTCCTAATTGCAAGTAAAGCTCATTAGTTAGCCCCAACAACTACTATCTATAAAGTCAGTTCTGATGACTACTCAAAGTGGGACGGCTTCTCTAGTCAAACTATTCATCGACTACTCGGCTATTCAACTATCAATATATACCAAGTCGACAACATTTTCAAGCCTGGACAAAAAACTTCATTAAGTCGGAGTTTTCGATCAGGCTACACTATTATTGCATTTTTTCTTATTTTCTATACAGCCATGTATGTAGTCAATTCTATAACACTCAAGCCCCAACCCAATCTATATATAGAGGTTGAGGGCAAGCTCAGTTTATATGATTTTCTGTAATCAAGCACATTCTAAAAAAACCCCGGAGCTTCTTACTCTGGTATTCTTCTTTCTTTCTCTTGCTACTTTCCTATTCTCTTTTTTATTTAATATTCTTAATACAATTGGATGTGATTCATAAACATTTTTGGATTCAACAACATCCATGTATGCACAAAGATTGAACAATCCATTGAGATTCAAAAAGAGTATATAGAGATATCATACTTCATATAAAAATGGAGATTAGGATAGAGATAAAAATTTATCTATATAGATGGTTGAGAGTGAATGTAGCTATCTACTGCAAAGATTCAAGGTTTAAAATTGCATAATTAAGCCTCGAGGCGGTTTTTGTCCGTGAGGCAAGGTGTAAGCCTCGAGGCGGTATGAGGCGTAAGCCTCACGGACACAGAATTGCGTAAATGAAAAATTAAGGGTTTTAGCAGGAAAATAATAGCAATATTGTAGCTTACAATAAAAACATCTAAATGATATATGAAAATAGTGGAAAGTTAGGAAATAGATGCAATAAAATCATGTCCCAAAGTACAAAATCACACAAAATAATTCAAAAAATCAAAAACCCTAGAATTTCTTTAACTTGAAAAATCTAACCAAAAACTAAAAAAAAAAAACTAAAATCGTTTGTGGACTTCTCCTACAAGGCGGCCGGACACTTCAAGATCGCCGGAGAGAGGCGTCGCCGGCGGGAAGGGAGGTCGACCATGCGGGAGGGTCTCTGTTTCGCGACCTGGGGCTTGCGGGCAAAGAAAAAAGCGAAATGCCTGGACCGATCGGGTATAAGGGAAAAAAATTACTCATTTTAAGTTGGTGGGACCAATTGGATGAGGCGTACGCCTCACCCATAATTGCGCAATTGAGGCGCGCCTCACACAGGGTGAGGCATACGCCTCAAACATATCCCAAATTGCGTGCGCCTCGAGGCGCTTTTGGCCAGAATTGCGCAGAGGCGCGCCTCTTATTGCGCAATTTTAAACAGAGGCAAAGATGGCTGGATATGAAAAAAAAAAGAAGATATTATTGCTACTACAATTAATCTTACTCTCTCTTTCTATGCCCAACTGAAAGTTTCTCATTACTATGATCAAAAGCTTCTCTTATTAGAGATGAAAAATAACGGGCATCTTCCCTCTCCATCTACAAGAACCCCAAAAGACACCTCTTTTTTATTTTCAAATCGCAGTCCCTCTCCGCTTTATCTTCTCTTATTGTTTGCTTTTTATGAGATATCAAGCCCCTCTCCACAAAAATCTATTTGAATTGGTAACAAAGAGAAGATGACCAAATTGGTCCCCCTAACATTTTTTGAAGAACCAAAAGAGTCCCCACAATATAAAAGAACCAATTTGGTTCCTTAAATATAGTTAAATAGGGACCAAATTAGTTCTTCCGTGAGATCATTTAGGCTCCTATTTAAAAAATTCAAGGGACTAAAAAGGGACTTTTAAATAATTAGAGATCCTTTTGATCCTTCATAAAGAGTCAGAAAATCATTTTGTCCTTTATCTCTAGTAACAAAATAAATTATAATTAATTACAAGATCTTCATAGCCCACAAAAAAAATCACATGATCTTCATAGCCCACAAAACGGTGGCCTTCCGATCAGTGACGGAGCCAGAAAATATACCTAGGGGGGGCCTAATTTTTTTTTTCTTCAACTTTTTACATCCAGAATTAGGACCAATATAATCAATATTAAAAATGATAAAACTTTGGTAGTTAATTATTTTATTTTCTTCCTTCACAAAAATGACTTCAATCATCAAATCACTCGATTTCTGCTAGAACATGTTTAATATATTAACTAAATACGTGATATTAAAAATCTCATTGCACAAAAAAAAATCATAAAATCTCTTTAAGATCGAATCAATATAAGATTAAGCTAATATCAATCAAGAAAAAAAATGTAAATGAATAGGAAAGTAAATTGGGAGTGATTTGAATAGATGACCGATGTTAAATTTCTTGATCGTGGACCGTTTATTGGGCATTTAAATGTCTTAGTGATATCAAAATTCGGCGATCTTCTTGGGCTCGTTGGATTTGTCTTGTCTAGCCGCTCGATTCGACTATAAGCATGTCATGTTTGGAAACCGTATGGTAATCTAAATTATGGTTTGAACCTTCTAAATATGCTTCGGGTCTTTGATTTAAATCATTTGGGTTCGGATTGAGTTAAATTTGGTGTCGTTAGGTTCATATTTTTGAGACGTTCAGTTTGACTGTAAGTTTACTGAAATCGGAGTTTGGATGATCTCAATTTTAATTTTTAAAAATTCCAACTTGAATTTGCCTTGAGATTCGTGCCCAATCAAGATAATTTTTTGATGATGTACCAAACATTAATTTATAATTTTGAGTGTTCATTCACTCATTTACCATCTCATCTTAAGCATTAAAAAAATTAAAATTTAGCAATTTAATATCATATCTCGTTGTGCTGGTTTACCCAATTTAAGGGAATTTATTCACATTCGTGTAAATGTGCTCAGATCCGATAAGTCCTAACTGCCACGGGTCGGATCCTGACCGCATCAAACACTATTTGGATAGGATCTCATTCAAGTTTCTTCCAACTGTTTCTCTCCGCAGTGCTCGTTCAAGAATCCAAAACTCATCTCTTTGGCGCCTCTGCCGCTCCACCAATATCGAACGCAACCCTTAATCTGTTCCAGGTATTTTTCATCCATTCCGCTCCCTCGCGGTTTTCGCGCGCTGCTCTGCATTCTCCGATATATTTTTTTTAAAAGTTTGGATCTCCACCGTTGTGATCTTTCTGTGAGGTTAAAGAAGACTAGGGTTTCGAATCTGTTCCGCTTCTCTCTATTCTTGTGCGGAGCTCTGAATTGTGGTATGCGTTGCAAGACTTCGTTTTGGGGCTTTCTTGCGCTGGTCCACCGGCTGGTCGTTTCGCTAATTTGAGATTAGGGTTTATCAATTTTGATACTTTTCATGCATTTGGGTTTCTTTGTGTGGATTTGTTCGGCAGTGGCGATACGGTATTAGTAGTGGATTGTTTTTCGAGTAAGGTGCACGAGAAATTGTTGTTCTTTGGGGGAAAAATGACTGTTTTCTGGTTTATTGGTGCTAATTTAAGATTTATTTCAGGTGCACTTGGAAACTGAAGCAGTAGAGGGGAAGAATATTTCTACTACTACTGCAGCAGCAGCAGCAGCAGCAGCAGCGATGGATTCAAGCCCTGCTTCAAACAAAAATGTTGCTTTGTCCTTGAACCCAAACCTAAAATCAAATGCAAAGAGGAGAGAAGTGGTTGTTGTAGAGAGGACTTCGAAAACTAATGTGCTTCCTGACGGAGAATTGAATGGTGCGAATAATGGTAGTGTAATTTACAATGGGAAGGACCTGAACCATACATTGTGGGGAGAAACTGCTCTTGATAGGCCCAGAGATTTGGCACAGTTGAAGAAAGGAGTTATTGCAGCCTCCATTCATTCAAAGCATAGGAGATCTGTACATAGACATGCAAAGCCTATCTGGCAAACTGTTCTTAGCTCTATCACCAAGAATTTGCTGCTTCTTGCAGCTCTGCTGTATGTTGGGCAAGTAATTTGGCGATGGGCTGCCGGGGTTAACTATCCTTTATCAGCCTTGGATTTTGATAGCCGGATCTCAGAAGTGGAATCATCTTTAAAGAAAACCGCAAAAATGTTGCAAGTTCAGTTGGATGTTGTTGACAAGAAGATAGGGAGTGAGATTGGTATTGTGACAAGGGAACTTACAAAACAAATTGAAGAAAAAGGAACGCTACTTGAGAAGGAGCTAAATAACCTTGAAGCTAGAACTGATGATTTGGGCAACTCTTTCAGTCAGTTGAACGATGCCGACCTTCTCTCAAAGGAAGAATTTGAGAAATACTGGAGGGAGTTGAAGAATAGAAATCTAGAGGATGCTAATAAAGATGCATACTTGGATCATATCCGGGCACTGGCAAAGGATGTTGTTGAGAAAGAAATTGAAAAACATGCTGCAGATGGTCTTGGTAGGGTAGATTATGCTTTAGCTTCTCTTGGAGCCGGGGTAGTAAAGCATTCAGAGCCCTC